TGACTGAATATTTAGATATTCTATACCATCATGGTGGTGTCATGGACTTCTCGGGTTTGGAACCACGATATGTTGGTGGTTTTTCAGAGAAGATATCGGTGGATATTGATGAAGTGTCATACTTCGAACTTTTTTGAAGAGTCAACTAACGGTCAAACGAACGGAAAGTTGACGATTTGGATATTAGATTGTTTTCGAAAAGGTTTGGCTATTATATTGTTTAAAATGAAAGGTTTGGATATTAAATTGTATTTACCCAAAAAAAAAACTATGATATACACAATGATATCAATTTTGCTAAGTTTTGAGAAAAAACATTACCTATTCAAAACAGTGGCGGAGGCAGGGTTTGAAACTATCACTGTTCTCTTTTCATAATATAAATATATAATTAAAACTAATAATATTCAAACAATTCATTCACAGATAAAGAAATAACCAACTAATACAATTGTTGTTTGCATAAACAAACACGACAAATTTTCATGTTCTGAAAGCAATGCAAAATACATTCGTTGTCTACACTCTTAAGTAAGTCTCTTTCAATGTGTCTCACTAAACAATAATTAGAAAACTGATCGTCAATTCGACTTTGAAACTTGATATTAGTATAGTTCAAACTAACAATGTTATTTCTACACTTAAAGTTGCAACTGGTAGAATCAAAACTAGTTTCAGAATCAAATAAACTTACGGATATGACTAACACACTTTTGTCTCCATAATTATTCGAGATAATTCATTAATTTCTTTCAATTCATGAAATATCATAACATTATGATAATACCGAACAAGTTGTTTTCGAATAATTATCATGAATGGAAAAATTAAATTAATTATAAAGTATCAATTATTAACCTTAACAATTATAATGGTAAATACGATAGAAGCCGGTGTCGCCGGTGGGAATGTTGCATACCACTCGATTGTTTCGATCACGGAAGCTTAAAGTTTTTAAGACGTTGTGGCGGTGGCAAAGGAGACGGTGGTAGTTGCCGAGAGAAGTCGCACCGGCATAAATGCGCTTGACGCCATTCTTCTTCTTCTTCTTCGCTTTGTCAACAATGAGTAAGAGTTGCGTATTATCTTTTTCTTCTTTCTTGGTTGTTTTGGTGTTCGTCATGCCTCGCCGTTGTTGTGCCAAGTTGATTCTTTTTAGATGTGAATGGTGTGCGGCCGAGATTATGGAAGAAATATATAGATTTCAGAGGACAGGGAGATTAGGGTTTGAGATATATAATATATTTTTTTTGATGGTTAATCAAAATTTCATTAAGCTCTAGAGGTTGCAACTGCAAACCTCCTTCTCAAAAGACCAGCCTGAAAATTCAATACAGTAAAACTAACTATGCAAACTGAAAAAAAAATCTATCTATGCTGCACTACATCACTTCAGCGAGTCCTAGCAGCAAGTATCCATTTCACCTCTTCCTCAATACGACCAGCTAGTTTACTTGGGGAGCAAATCACACTATCATGAGCCCGACAGCAACGTTCTCGCCTTATATAACTCACACACAACGACCATCTCAATCTTCCTTCACTTTTAACTCCTGTATCATTCGTCCATTGTCTGACTGCCCATTGCAGATGATCCTTCCATGTACTGAATTCTAGAAACCTGCAAATTCTAGACAAAACAGTACATAAAACACTCCTACTATACGAGCAAGTTGAAAACAGGTGATCCCTGGTCTCACTACCATCTGGACATAAGCCACAGGAAGTATCATCAGTTAGCCCCCAACTCTGCAACTTATCTTTCGTAGTGATTCTATTGAGAATTACAAGCCACAGTAGTAAACTATGATTCGGACTGTATGGTTTCCCCCAGACAGCTTTGTGCCAGTCAACTACAGCCTGGGGATCTCGTATAGTGATGCTCTAAAACACAACACCAATCTGCGACCAAGTGTAATCGCAGACCGGGAATGCAGTAAAGTGGGAAGTTATATTATCAACCCGGGGTCTAGATCTACTGCTTACTCAGTGATTCTCTATTATCTAGCCAGCTAAGTTAAGTGTTTGTTGTGTAAAAGCAAAAACAGAAAGAAAGCAGGAATTGATACGGTTTTCTCAAGCAGGTAAGAGTCACTCGGGAATGAGTCCCCCTAGCTCCTTAGTTAGGCTCAATTGCAATTACCATGGGTTTATTTACTGTTGATTAGACTGCGGAAGATCCGACAGTAGCTTGGAATCTCTTAAGCTGACCAAGCCCTCTCAGTCTAACTATCCGGCAGACGACTAGTCTTCACCGGGATAGAAAGCTGAAGCAGTAAGAACAGAACTTCACTACTGGAATTGGATTCCAGTACAAAGCAGTCAACTGGCTAACTCTCGTATAGCCAATCTCCTACTATCGAATGATGAGACTCTAGCAACCTAATCAGATTCTATCTATCTCAGATTGCAGCAGAAATCAGGAAAAGTTGATCAGACTTCAATTGACTCAATAAACATGCATCATTCGATTAAAATCAAACAGTAATATCATCCCAAGTCATTACAATCAATCACTAACACATAGAACTAGGGTTCTCCATCCCCAAGTGAGAGAGGGGTTCTACTCCATAGAGAGAGAGAAGAAAACAGTAATCGGAGTAGTCATATTCATAAAGATGAGGAAAATCTGCTCCGGGATGATGATTTCCACACCTAGGATGATCTCCAAGCTCGAATCGATGAAACCCAGCTCCAAGATAGCTTCTAGGATGTGTTCTTCGTACTTTCTCTCTCTAGGGCTCTGTTTTTGCTCATAAAGTCCGATTCTCTCTCTTGCAGCACGAAATTGGGTTAAAACCAGGAATTCCCGACTCACACGGGCAGGGCCACACGGCCGTGTGGCATACCCAGTTGCCCGTGTGAGTCAAAACGCTGCGTTCCAATTAGTTCGATCTTCAGGCTTCCCACACGGCCAGGGTCGCACGGTCGTGTGGAATTTCCATCCTGCCCGTGTTTGCTCTCGCATAATTCCACACGGCCAAACCACTCCTTCACACGGCCGTGTGGATATCAGGGCAAGCCGTGTGAAGGCTCGCACAATCTCACACGGCCAAAGTGGTCACTTGCACGGCCGTGTGAGTTGTGGGTGTGCCCGTGTGGCCTCCTTTTTGACTTTCCACGCGCCCGATCTTCGTCCAATCGACCCCAAACTCGCTCCCAAGCCTCCATTCACGTACTAGGACATGAAATATCACAAACAAGCACAACCTAGCGTGAAATCGGCCTAAAACACGAGAAATCACATCTCAAACGGTGTAAGAACAGGGGTAAAAACATGTGTAATTAACGGTCTATCAAACTCCCCCACACTTAACCGTTTGCTTGTCCCCAAGCAAACCAAGTCAGACACAAGGTAAGCTCACATATTTCAATCAACCAACATTGGGGACAAATCATATAGGCACAGAACACGTGAATCGTACTGGTTTTCAAACATCAATACCTGACCAACTTCAATAGCAACCTGGACAACCACCACAAAGGACATTCGAGTGCAGCAAAATCGAGTAAAGGAAGAGTCTCCCTTCTGTTCACCAACCAACCTAGACTTGACTCAACCACTTACTCAAAACAGTCAACTCATGCATCCAACTCAGGACATCAGAATAGAGACCGAGCAATCTATGTCCTCACCGGTACAAGAGTATATAGAATATGAAAAATGAATCACTCACTCTCAACCAGTGGGGTCAGGACAATTTGATGCGAAAAATGCGCATGCTATTTCTCTGAATCCCTAACATCTCTTCACCATGACGGCAGCCTCTAAATGCTAGAGTTCACATATGGAGTGTCACCACTAACTAATCAGGAGGTCTTAGACACAGGTTCAAATGACTAGCAGGTTCAAATGACTGGCTAGGGTCTTGGACATGGGGAAAAGGCCTTTTAGGTGGTGGCAGTATTCATAGCACAAGGTTCCACATTTCCAAACCCAAACAATCACAGTCAAACAAACCGGTATTTCCTTTCTGCTATTCTGCATTACTCAATATCTCAAGAGCACAAGAGCGAAGGAGGTATAAATGTCAGCATTTCCAAGCCAGACTGCTAAGAAACACTAATTACTGGCATTATTCAGATTTTTGGTAGTGGCTCTCTTTGCTTTCAATTTTTCTTTGTTTTTTTTCTTTCATTTTCTTTTCATTTCTTAAGAGAGCCACCACTTCTGCACATATTTCAAACACATGCCCCGCCAACTTTTAAGCACTACCTCCAACACTCACATCAAATTTAGCAGAAACAGCAGAGAATATGTAAAAACCACTCTGTGGGACCTTCTAAAAGATGCAAATGGTGATTTTTTTTCATTTCAGACCAAAAGAAAGGATAGCACACGGCTCAAAAGGGCTGACTAGGGGATATGACACATCAGGACAGTCAAATTTGGTCGTGGGCTAATCCTATGCCCCCATCATCTTAGCTAGTGACAACGTGAATGCTACACATCATGGAAGAGGGATCTATCGCACAAGAAAGAAACGAGCAGGCTCAAATCTCACATGGCTACCTATATGCTCTATCTCACATTCTGATACCCTGAACTAGATGCATAAACGACTGTCAAGAACAAGTAATCAATCCAAGTCACAGTTGGTAAGCAAACAGTTGAAAAACTGAACCCCTACACAATTCTACTGCACGTCTCAGTCCTCATCATAGGTTGTCCTAGTCACAATCAAGCTGTCATGCATCAATCCGAAAACCATTCAATTCACCAATCAAAACACAGTGCCAATATGATCAAACAGTAGTACTTGGAACCCTCAAATCTCGAGATTTGGACAGTGGACTAGGCTCCAAGCACACATATATACATTCCAACCGATACAAAGCACCCCCCCACACTTAAGCACGACATTGCCCTCAATGGAGCAGAGGGATAGAGAAGGGGAACGATGTTACCGGATTGAAACTGCTGGGGGACTGGAAGTGGACCAGTCAGCGAGAAACAAACGGGAAGATGGACAGTTCTGCACGAATCGAACACCAAGAACACACTAGCACACGTTTTGTTAGGGATAAGTGTTAGCCCAGACGGCTACCGCAAAAACAATCCACAAAAGAAAAAAGAAAAACAAAAACAAACGACACTAAGTTCAAGCTCCTCACACATGGAGCAAACACACACAAGTCTAAAACGAAAAACAAAACACACTGAGATGGGCAACGAGTACAGCCTACTCGTCGCCGAGGTTATCCAGGTCGATGTCATCCATGAAGGCGTCATCACCATCAGCACCATCATCACCATCCGCTGGGGGAGGTGGAAGTGGAGAGTCCTCCTAGGGGCTCTTCCAAACGGGCTGCTCGCCCGGTAGCAGCCGGAGTAAATGCTGTTGGACCTCCTGCATGCGCCGTGAACGGCGCCTCTCTCGCTCGATGTGTGCGAGAGTCACTCCCTGCTGGGTCTGGATCTGGTACAATCTCTCATCGTAAACAGCCATCCTCTGGTGGTACCCGGCCTGGTGGGCCGCGTACTGCTGCTGGAACTGCATCTGATGGTCGAGGATCTGCTGGTTTTGGAGACGCAGCTGCTCGAACTGGGAGGTGAAGTAATCATGGCCGGGGAAGCTAGAACTGCCACCCCCGTACTCGAAGGTGGTGGGGCAGGCGGCAGCAGTGTCATCCACGTCCTCGGGCTGGACCTCCTCATCAGCTGCACCCTCTAGAACCTCCGGCTGGACCTCCTCTGGGATCTGAGGTTGAGGAAACCCCTCGATCCATATGACACCTCGCTCTTCGCGAAGCAGCTGCATTTTGTTGATCGTAAACCGGCCAAATGGAGTGGTCTCTCCTTGCTCTGTGCACCCCTGCAGGGATATCTGGAAGTACTCTGCCAGGCAGGTGATGAGGGGAGTGCAGTGGAGTTTCTTCAGCTCAGAAGCACTCTTCTCGAAGGTCCTCGCCACCACCGAGCCCAAGTGTAGGGGATGATCCCTCTGGCGCATGGACTGGATGAAGTACATGGCTCTCTTGGTGATGGCGCTGGCACTGTCTGAGGTGGGGGTGTAAGACTTGGCCAGCATGTGATGGAGGATACGATTTTCGAGCTGCAATGTGTTGGCCTTCGTCTTCCCCGCCTTGAAGGGAAGCTGACGTGGCCGAGCGAGGCTGAAGTACAGCCTCCCGAAGTCCACCCATGCTGGCTCGGCGATCTCGGTGATGTAGGTCCTGTCATTGACCAGGTTGAGGCCGAGGGCGTCCGCCAGCTCGTCGTAGCTCATGGATCGTGGTTCACCGCCGAGTCGGAACTGGATGGCAGCTTCGTCCTTCCAATCGTCTGTGGCTGCGTGCTTGAAGGTAGTGTAGAACTCAAGCACGAGCTCATGGTAAACCTTCGCGCGAATGCTGAGTAGGCGACGCCAGTAGCGGTTGGTGACAACGGGGGAGAGGTGCTCGTAGCAGTTCAGCTTCTCCAACTCGCGCTTGGACCAGTAATGATGCTGCCCAAACTTGCAGGCCAGGACGTTCTGAAAACGATCCCGGTGGGGTCCCCTTCTCAAATATTGAACATATTGATGCCAGAGGTTGGGCTTCGACATGGTCCTGCAAAAGAATAGCCCAAAGTGGAACCAAAAGAGCCAAGGAAAATGTTAATCACACCCCCACACTTAAGAACAGAAAACAGCCTAACCATGGTTTCATTCATAGTTCGGGGTCAAAAACTCGATAAATCAAGCATAATCTGAGTGGGGGTACACATTCACGCTAAAGTAGGCAACTTAAGGTTCACATCCATAGCAAACACACCCTCAAAGCACATCAATAAGGGCCACAACCGGTGCCCACAACATAGCATGCAAAACAGGCATTTCATCGAACACCTTGTGTGCACTATTAAGGTAAGCATGAAATTGGCACAATTCTTGCACACAAGGGCTCAAACAACCAAGAGGGACTTTTCCCAACACAATTCAAACACACTCCATGCATTCCCCTCAATCAATTGCACAAAAATCACAAGATTCAATGAGGTTCTCTAAACGTGCACCCTAACACCCAATTCTCCACAATTAACATAGTTAAGGGAAAAATCAAACCTGGAGACTCAAGTAGAGGTGTAGGGGATGAGGAGGGGAAGGCGATGGAAGCGACGAAAAGCCGAAAAAGTGCCCGAAAGTGCTCGTCGGAGCCTCGCCGGAGTCTCGCCGGAAATCGCCTCCGGCGACAAAAACGTCGGCCAAATCTACTCAAAATGGAGGGATAGGCCGCTTTTGGTGTAGGAAGGGTGGGTTTGTTGTTGGTTTTGTGGAAAAATGACAAAAAATGGCCGAAAAAATCGAAAAGTGTGGTTTTGTCGCAGTTTTCCAGCGAGGATCAGAGGATTCCGGCGAGTGAAATTGAATTTTCTGAGGACTCGGCCGTGTCGGCCGAATTTATAGGCCGAGTCTCGGCCACACAGCCTGGCTCGCACGGCCGTGTCATGAGCACTTTTTCCCGTGTCGGCCGACACGGGCTGGCCGAGGAATCTTCACTCGGCCGTGCCGAGTGCTCATTTGGCCATGCCAAATTTTGCGAGAGCAAACACGGCCAGGGCAAATTTCCACACGGCCGTGTCACCATCTCATCTGGCCGTGTGGAATTCTGCGAGAGCTCACACGGCCAAAGCAATTTTCCACACGGCCGTGTGACATTCAGGGCTGGCCGTGTGAGCTGCCAGAACTCCGAAATTGACCTGTTTTCACTCCAGAATGACATACAACTCGTGAACAACCCCTTAAGACTCAAAAAACACAAAAAATCAAAAGGAAAAAGGTAAGAAAATGCAAACCTAGGTGGGGTTGCCTCCCCACAAGCGCTTCTTTACCGTCTTTTAGCTGGACGCCAGTCGGTGGATGCTCAGTGAGGTGAAGGAGCAGGTGCCTTCAAGAGCGGATCCACCTCGCTCTTGAAGTACAGCTTCAAATGGTGGCCATGCACACGCCGAATGTGGCCATCAGCATTTGCCAACTCAACTTGGCCATCCGGCAGGATGCAAGCGAGTGAAGGATACACGACAGACTCGTGCTCCCGGTGAGACACAGCATGCAAAGGCGAAGAAGCAGGAAGAGTATTAGAGATTGAAAATGTTATTCGCTCCTCACCATCCCTCAAAACTAAGGTCCCATCATGCACATCTATGAGGGCCTTGGCGATGGCCAGGAAAGGCCTTCCCAGTATCAATGGCACATCCACATCCTCATTTATGTCCAAAATCACAAAATCAACAGGATAATTGAATTTGCCAACTTTAACCAGAAGGTCTTCCACTATGCCCCTAGGATGCACGACAGATCGGTCAGCTAATTGAAGGCTCATCCTAGTAGCACGGGGTTCACCTAGGCCTAGTTTCTTGAATAATTTATATGGCATAACATTGATACTAGCACCTAAATCCGCCAAGGACCTCGCTACATGCAAATTCTCTATAGAGCACGGGATAGTAAAACTACCTAGGTCCTTCTGTTTCTGCGGAAGCTTGTTCTGCAGAATGGCCGAGCACTCCTCGCTGAGCTCCACAGTGGCCAGCTCGCTCAGCTTCTGCTTCTTTGAGAGAAGATCCTTCAGGAACTTTGCATACTTAGGCATTTGAGAAAGTGCCTCCAGGAAGGGTACTTGGACATTCAGCTTCCTAAGCATGGCCATGAAGCTCTCAAACTCTGCCTCCAGCCTGTCTTTGTGCAACCGAGTAGGGAAGGGGAGTTTAGGGATATACTCCTTCACTACTGGTTGCGGTTTAGGTGCAGGCACCTCAACCTCCTTCTCTGCTTCTTCTTCAGCGGCTGGAGATGCCGAGGCAGGGGCCTCTCTCTCCTGTGCCCGAGCAGGTGGATCAATAGTCATCTTGCCACTCCTGGTCATGATGGCATTGCAGTGCTCATTCGGGTTCTGAGGGTGAGGAATGGTCTGACCGGGCAAGGTACCAGGAGCCCTTTGTGCCACTGCTTGAGCCACACTCCCCAGCTGGGTTTGGATATCCTGCAAGACAGCCTGTGTGTTCCTCTGGCCAGCTTCAAGAGCCAGGAATTTACCCGATGCCTTTTCCATAAACTGCTCGATAGTGTTGAATTTTTGAGCACTAGAACTGGCGAGAGAACCCACCAATTCCCGCAGTTCAGCCATCTGATCATTCTGCACTGGGGCGTTAGGGGCTGCACCTGGCTGCTGGAAAGGTCGCGGCTGTGATGGAGCAGCATGCCCCTGCATGGGCTGGTAGAGAGACTGCTGCTGCTGCTGGAATTGCCCCTGTCTGGGCTGATACGGTGGCCTCTGGAAGCCCGGTGGTCCCTGGTGTACTGGTGGTTTGGGATTTGCCCCACCCCAGGAGAAGTTGGGATGCTGGCGCCACCCCTCATTGTAGGTGTTACTGTAGGGGTCATTGCGCCTGACATTATTGATGAAGTTCACCTGCTCCTGGGGTGTGGTCGATTCCTTCATCGCCTGGCAGTCTTCCACTGTATGATGGGTGCTCTCGCACCACTGGCAGAGCATCGCCTGCTGCTGTCCGGTCACTGGAATCAAACCAGAACGATCGATAGCTGAAACCAGCTTTGATACCACCTGCACCAAATCAGATGACTGGGTGCCCACAACATGCACACCCCGTCCTGGTGCTCGTCTCGATCTCCTGGCAGTGCCCCAATCGTACCCGTTCTCCGCCATCTCCTCAAAGAGTTGATTCAGCTGTGGCGGTGTTTTGGTCAGCATGTTCCCGTCACAAACCGAATCAATCAGCTGCTTGTCCTCCGGGAAGAGGGCGTGATAGAAGGTGCCCACCTTGAACGCATCATTGAAACCATGATTGGGACACTTGAGGAAAAGACTGGTGTATCTCTCTCAAGCATCCCTGATGGTCTCATCCTCATCCTGAGCAAAATGGGTAATTTGCTTCTGCAGGTCAGCTGTCTTGGATGGAGGATGGTAGCGGGTGAGGAACTTGTCCGCCAGGTTGGCGAACGTGGTGATAGAGCCCGGAGGTCGAGTATCTAGCCACTCCTTGGCTTGCCCCACCAGGGTGAATGGGAAGTATCTCAGCTGGATGGCATCTGCTGGGACCACATTGATCTTGATTCCATCAATGAGCTCATGGAATCGCCTGAGATGTGATCGGGGGCACCCCCCCTCTTTGCCACGGAACATCACCGAACCGCGCAGCATGGTGATTACTGAGGTGCTCACCTCAAAATTATTGGCTGGGACATGAGGGTGTTGAATGGGTGACCTCATGTCTGCAGCCCTGGTAGTCCAGTAATGTTCCATGGTCTGCTCCTCGGGATTGACCACATCATGGCCCTGTGGATCAGCCATCTCCTCTTCAGTGATCTGTAGCTGTGCTAGCGCCTCCTCCGCAGCCAGTCGTGCCTTTAGAGCCCGCTTGAAGTTTCTGCAGGTTCGTTCAAGCTCCTAGTCTAGTGGTAGTAGATCTCCCGACTGGCTACGGGTCATGCACTACCTGCACACAATCAGCAGAAACAACCCGTGAAGGCACACAGGTGGAAGAGATAAAATGCAGTAAATAAAAAGCTAGAGTAACAAATTCTCACGTTTCCCCAATAACCTAGAGGGGTCTCCGGAAACGGCGCCAAAGACTTGATGCTCTAAAACACAACACCAATCTGCGACCAAGTGTAATCGCAGACCGGGAATGCAGTAAAGTGGCAAGTTATATTATCAACCCGGGGTCTAGATCTACTACTTACTCAGTGATTCTCTATTATTTAGCCAGCTAAGTTAAGTGTTTGTTGTGTAAAAGCAAAAGCAGAAAGAAAGCAAGAATTGATACGGTTTTCTCAAGCAGGTAAGAGTCACTCGGGAATGAGTCCCCCTAGCTCCTTAGTTAGGTTCAATTGCAATTACCCTGGGTTGATTTACTGTTGATTAGACTGCGGAAGATCCGACAGTAGCTTGGAATCTCTTAAGCTGACCAAGCCCTCTCAGTCTAACTATCTGACAGACGACTAGTCTTCACTAGGATAGAAAGCTGAAGCAGTAAGAACAGAACTTCACTACTGGAATTGGATTCCAGTACAAAGCAGTCAACTGGCTAACTCTCGTATAGCCAATCTCCTACTATCGAATGATGAGACTCTAGCAACCTAATCAGATTCTATTTATCTCAGATTGTAGCAGAAATCAGGAAAAGTTGATCAGACTTCAATTGACTCAATAAACATGCATCATTCGATTAAAATCAAACAATAATATCATCCTAAGTCATTACAATCAATCCCTAACACATAGAACTAGGGTTCTCCATCCCCAAGTGAGAGAGGGGTTCTACTCCATAGAGAGAGAGAAGAAAACAGTAATCGGAGTAGTCATACTCATAAAGATGAGGAAAATCTGCTCCGGGATGATGATTTCCACTCCTAGGACGATCTCCAAGCTCGAATCGATGAAACCCAGCTCCAAGATAGCTTCTAGGATGTGTTCTTCGTACTTTCTCTCTCTAGGGCTCTGTTTTTGCTCAAAAAGTCCGATTCTCTCTCTTGCAGCACGAAATTGGGTTAAAACCAGGAATTCCCGACTCACACGGGCAGGGCCACACAGCCGTGTGGCATACCCAGTTGCCCGTGTGAGTCAAAACGTTGCGTTCCAATTAGTTTGATCTTCAGGCTTCCCACACGGCCAGGGTCGCACGGCCGTGTGGAATTTCCATCCTGCCCGTGTTTGCTCTCGCATAATTCCACACGGCCAAACCACTCCTTCACACGGCCGTGTGGATATCAGGGCAAGCCGTGTGAAGGCTCGCACAATCTCACACGGCCAAAGTGGTCACTTGCACGGCCGTGTGAGTTGTGGTTGTGCCCGTGTGGCCTCCTTTTTGACTTGCCTCGCGCCCGATCTTCGTCCAATCGACCCCAAACTCGCTCCCAAGCCTCCATTCACGTACGAGGACCTGAAATATCACAAACAAGCACAACCTAGCGTGAAATCGGCCTAAAACACGAGAAATCACATCTCAAATGGTGTAAGAACAGGGGTAAAAACATGTGTAATTAACGGTCTATCATATAGCCTTCCATACTAGTTTAACAGAGTATTTTGGCAAGAGTTTGCCATTCCAAGCAAGTTCCCCCAAATGGGTATTTCCAGTTATATGATTCCTTGCCCCCTCCCTGCTCTTCAGAATCTTCCTCCAAATCCAGGTCCCTGCTGAGCGCTCTGCTATATCCCAAATGGACCTCGTTTTTAAACGATATTTCTTCACCCAAGCAACCCAAAGGGAACCAGAAGCAGCCATTATATTCCAGATATGTCGAATAACACATGCTAGGTTCCATTTCTTAAAATCCCTTATCCCCAAACCCCCTTCACTCTTTGGCAATGCAACATACTGCCAGGGTATCAATGCCTTCTTCCTCAAGCTTTTCTGCTACCCACACCCCATAAAAACTGATTACATATTCTCTCTATCTCCTTCAAAATTCGCTGGGGCAACAGAAACAAAGCCATCCAATACTGCATTATACTTGTGATTACTGATGAAATTAATTGTAGCCTACCTGCGTAACTAAGTTTTTTTCCTTTCCATGTACTAATCCGCTTAGTTATCTTTTCCACTAACACTGAGCAGTCAGCAGAGGATGGTTTACCTGAGATGAGGGGTACGCCAAGGTAACGAACAGGAGACTGCCCAATGGAAATCCAGTGACAGAGGAGATCCAGTGCTTTTCATCCTCAGGGATACCACAACAGAACAACTGACATTTAGCTGGGTTGCAACGGAGTCCAGAGTCTATATAAAACTGATCTAACACTCTTTTTATAACAGCCACTCCCCTAACTGAAACATTTGTAAAGACTAGGAGATCATCTGCAAAACACAGATGAGTGATCTCCAGAGTTTTACAACGTGGATGGTATGGAACCTGGTTATCCACTGCTGCCCTGTGCATTAAACACGAAAAATACTCCATTGCCACAGTGAAAAGGTATGGGGAAAGGGGATCTCCTTGCCTGAGACCCTTCCCAGCAGAAAAATAGCCACAAAGACCTCCATTAAATGAAACGCTAAGCTTGGGAGTGGTGACACATGCTTCAATTAACTTAACATAAGAATCAGGGAAACCCATAGCCAGAAGCATACTAAACAAGAAAGACCAATTGACTGAATCAAAAGCTTTCATGAGGTCTATCTTCAAGACACATCTTGACGTGGTATTCTGCTTATGATAGTCCTTAACTAACTCACTAGCCATCAATATATTATCACTGATTAATCTCCCTTTCAGAAAAGCAGATTGAGCTCTACCTATAACCTTTGGAAGTACAGCAGCTAATCTATTTGACAGGAGCTTAGATATCCCTTTATACAACACATTACAGCATGATATAGGTCTGAAATCCCTCATTCTATCAGCATTATCTACTTTAGGTATTAAGGATAATATTGTAGAATTTACCTCCTGAGGCATCACACCTGTGCTAAAGAAGTCCAACACCACATCTTCCACTAGCTTCCCAATTACAGGCCAATCTGATTTATAGAATTCAGCAATAAAACCATCCGGACCAGGTGCTTTGTCATTTGGCATCCTTTTGAAAACCTCCCTGATCTCCTCCCTTGTAACAGGAACTAATAATACTTGAATACTTTCTGAGTCTAATCTATGCATTAGCTGTTGTTGGAAAAAGCTAACTGAATGCTGCTGTACTCCCTTGTCTACCTCTCCCAAAAGCCTCTTATAAAAGTCCACAACAACCTCCCCCATTTCCTTTACCTCTGTAACTTCTGTTCTATCGTCCCTTATCAGCTTTACAATAGTCTGTTTATGGTTTCGTATCTTCACCATGGCATGAAAATAGGTTGTGTTTGCATCACCCTCCTGTATGCTCCTTACTCTTGATTTTTGTCTGAAAAAACTCTCTTCTGCTAACTGAATATCATGACACATGGCAGCCAATTCTATCTCTTTCTTCACCATATCTGCTGTGGGGCTCTGAAGTACTAACTGTTGCTGCTGCTCAAGCACTCTCTCTGCTTCTCTTGCTCTTTCGGAGACATCAGAAAACTCCGAGAAATTTAGTTGCTTTAACTTCTCCTTAAACACCCTTAGCTTGTAATAAAATTGCTGATGGGGCAGTCCCCTAGCTTCTTCCCCCCATGCTTCCTCTAACAACTTCATATACTTAGGATGCTTCTGCCAAAATTTGAAATATTTGAAAGGCTTTGGAAGCAAGCTTAAATTTGGATCTGAATCTAAGACTAAACCACAATGGTCAGAGACTCCTGGAGCCAGTGTTTTTGCCACACTGTGAGGAAAAGATATTAACCAGTCTTCATTTACAAGGAATCGATCTAACCTTTTTGCAATTGGGTTTGCTACCTGTTTATTCCACCAAGTGAATTGCGAGCTCAACACCTTGTGATCAATTAGGCACATATCCATGACCCACTCCCTGAAATCCAGACCTCCCTTAGTCATTACTGTGGTATTTGAGGTTTCTGTAGCATCCATAACAGCATTAAAATCTCCCATAAAAACACCTGGCTCCCCTTCAACTCTCCAGGGCAGCAGTTCTGAATACAATTCCAACCTCTCACTTGCTTTGTTTGGACTATATATTGCTGTAACAGTTCACTTTGAGAGCCCTTCAACTCTTACTTGAATGAAATGCATCCCCATCTTAACTAGCTGGACTGTTAGAGTAGGTTCCCAGAAAAGCCAAACCCTCCCTAAAGCTGAAAAAGCATAGTTGTCTAAGTGTTTCCAATTACTAAAATGACGCTGTATGATATCATCTGCATTCTTCTCTAAAACTCTTGTCTCCAAAATAGCTGCAAAATCTATATTTAACTTTATTAACTGTTTACTAATATATCTATGCTTCTCAGGAGCATTGAACCCCCTGAGATTCCAACTCATAAACTTCATTTATGCTTTCTTCCCCTCCCCTTCTTAGGGGGATCCCTTATAACCAAAGCCTGACCTTGAGCATTAAGAGGGACCCTTGCCTGAGCAGCAGAAGCAAGAATTTTAAGTGCAGTGCCATACGCAATCCCCTTACCCTTCCTCGTAACAAGCTGGAACCCTTCTTCATCAATCACCCTTCCAGAAGCAGAATTAGGCGGTGTACTAACCATCACCAACCCCATTTTTGAGCCTTCTGCAGATGAACTACCCTTATCACCCCCGGCTGAGCCAGCTACTTGAACTGGACTACCTTCAGTCTACTTGAACTTGAACTGGACTACCTCACAGGGACCCTTTGCATTGAGTATCTCATCATACAAAGAACATGATTCATATAATGAAATATCCCGTTCCTTTTTCGGAAACCAAACCAGAACTCAAATCGAAAATCGGTTACTACGGAGCAACCCAAACCACATTTAAAAATAAACAAAATGACGATATTTAAAAAATTTAAACGTAAAGCCCAACACTTGGGCAACATCTCAATCTCAAACACTTAAAACAGCTTACCACAGAATCTCCAGTTTATACTCCTAACCATTCAACAAAGTAATTAAACTATTCTAACTCTAGCTCCTCACGAGCTCCTCCTCGTCCATCGCAAATAGCAGCATCCTCGCGATCAGTTTTTTTCGAAACCCGCCGCTGATGTCAAGAGCAACGCTGACACCTCTCAGCCCACTCATCGGCGGCCAGCTCTGGACTGCCAACACTCCCCGACACTTTGGTGGGTGGACTCGCATCCTAACCTCTGCCCCCCACATTATTATTCCAACTGTCACCGCTGAAATTGTTGATAGCGTCGAAGTCGGTGATGAAATTCCCTGCCGCCGTTGCATTCCCTGGCTTCTCCTTGCGTCCACGAGCGAACACTTTGGTTCGGATCCACCTCCCTCCTCTTCCTGCTCGAGTTGAACCCTACATTTAGACATGCAATCAGATCATCGAACCGCCACCAATCCCCTCTCTTCCTCTTCGGTTTGTCCCTTGTTTTGTTCCTCCGAAATAAGGGAGGCATTTTTCACAACCTTCTATTCCTCTCAACGAAACGACATCATCTTCAATTAACCCCATTAACTACTTTTTGATTTCCAGTTGTTTTCCGGACTGTCCGTTTTTTGCGTTGTTTCTCTATATTCCATCCTTCTCCTCGTTTGCGGCTGATTTCCCCAGATACGTACGAAACGTCCTCTTCCTTATATTCAGGCCTCAAGCCCGCTCTATCTTTTTTTTTCCTTCTATTCCTCCGACCCGGGCCCCCAGCCCGTTCCCCCTTTCTCACTTTCGGGGCGCCAGCCTGCACACTCCCTTTTTCTTCACTTAACTCGGGTTCGGGCCAAAAGCCCAGATCCACTTCCTTTTCTTTCACCTGACAGGCCATCCAATAAGGCCCACCCAGCCCGGGTCTTTGACTAGGTCTTGGTTCAAGCACAAAAATCCAATCTATGTACGTAACTTCGTCGTTTTAAATCGAAATTCGACGTCGTTCGAACAATTAGTTAATATTTTGAGTCTTCTTAAATATTATGGTGAAATTTGAAAAAATTTCCTGAGCGTATAATAGTAATTTGAATTTTATAAAGAGCACGGTGTAACATTTCCTCCACCTTTATAAAAATTTCGTCCGAGACATTTGCTTGGACCACTCTTCCATACTCCTCATTCTCATGCTTCCTTGACTCCATAATTCACGCTAGCTATATAAACTTCCATGAAATTATGTTCATTGATTGTCTTGTACCGTTTGATATAGTCATTATATGTACCCTTGACCATACAATTATTCTCATCCTAGTTGGGTAACATCGAGTAGCTTTGAGTGGCTACTTGTCTTTTTTAATCCCCCAAATTGCGCCCAGGGTGTAATGGGACAAAATTTTGAATCACTTCATTCGAGGTATTACATCTCCTCCCCTTAAGAAAAATTTCGACCTTGAAATTTGTTCATCGTGACTTCCCCAAGCCTCATTCCTTACCTCATCTATCTCGTTGAATGACTCCTCATTTCCCAAAACTTGTCGTCGGCTCTTAGAAGACCTGTCGGACTCCTTAAGACCTATTCTAATTCCTCCTTGTATGCTCCCATTGTTACTTAGATTCCAACTTTCCACTGCTCCTTGGGGTCGTACCCCTGAGCTCGATCATCTTTATCTTAGAGAACCCTCTCCGCACCCTTTCCTCTCGATGATGGCCGCCATTTGCCGTTAATCCTTGGCTAATGTCGGTCAACGTACTAGGTACTTTGCATCTTCCTGAACCTTATTCTGATCAGCTCGTATCCCCGTAGGATATGAGCCGCTTTGGACCTCCTCTTCTCACTCATGAAAGGGTTTTCACTAAACGATCCCACTAGGAATCTGCTCCTTCTCCTTCCCGAGACGCATCATAGTCACGCGGCATGATAGATTGATTTTCCTAATCATGATTTGAGTATACTGGAGATTCTACAACCTTAAAAGAGAACCTGACTTGTTTGGCCAAACCTTTAACATAAAACCCTTTTTACTTTCTTTAAAATACATAAACCTTGAAAAACTCAGATCACCACTCCAGTATTCCTTGGAGACCAAGAAACAGAGGAGTGTCATCTCTAATACCAAAATGAAACAGACACGCTACAACACAACACCAAACTGCGACCAAGTGTAATCGCAGTCCGGAAATGCAGTGAAGTGGCAAGATCTAATTATCAACCCGGGGTCTAGATCTACTACCTACTCCGTGAATATTTATTATCTAAAACTAAGTCGATTGATTGTGGGTTTAACTAAAAGCAGTAAGAAAGCAGGAATTGATTTGGTTTTCTAAGCAAAGGAAGAGTCACTCGGGCATGAGTCCCCCTGGCTACTTAGTTAGGTCTCACTTGTAATTACCCTAGGTTGATTTACTGTTGATTAAACTGCGAAAGATCCGATAGCAGCTTGGAATCTCTTAAGCTGACCAAGCCCTCTCAGTCCAACTACCCGGCAGACGACTAGTCTTCACCGGGATAGAAAGCCGAGGCAATAAGCACAGAACTCCATGATTGCTCTAAAACACAACACCTAACAAAGGCCAAGTGTAACCAATGAAAGGGACTGCAGTATAGTGGCTCAAGTGATAAATATCGAATCCACGGGTCTCTAGAGTTACTATTACTCAGCTTCAGTTTATTATTTAGCAAATCAGATCAAGATGAAAGAACTAAAACTACTCTAGCAAACTACAGTTAAAGTTAATCTAATTACAGGTTGGGAACTCACTTAGGTATGATTCCCCCTAGCCACTAGCCAGATTAATGATTGATGATCTCTAACCTGTTTCACTTTCATTCACAATGCGGAGAATCCTTGACTAGACCTTGAGTCTCGACTAAAGGAACAAGGCCCTCTTGAGTCAATTGCCTAGAGGGACGTATCCTTCTCTAGAACAACTGATCAAGGCGTTCTGAACTAGACTCCCTCTATCGAAAGGGGTTCTCAATCGATACAAAGCAGTGAATCAACCCTCGACTAAAGCAATCGATCCACTACTATCAATCTATGGTGCTCTATTGACCTAATCAGGTATTCCCTCTCATAGAATCAAAGCAGAATCAATAATCTCGACTAAAGCAGAATTGAATCATGAAAACATGCATAGATTGAATATGAACTCAAGATTATCAAGTCAGAGTACTCATACAATCATCCAATCAAACAAACATAGCTAGGGTTCCTCAAAACCTAAGTGAAGGGAAGTTACTCCATAGAGAAGAGAGAGACTGCAGTAAGAATCTTCAGATGATAAGTCTTCAAGTCCGGGCTTGTTCCTCAAGCTTCCAAGGCGAAGAAATCCTCCTTCTCTACTCCAAGAATGCCCTCAAATCGCCCTCTCTCTCTTTGGTTCGTCCCTTGGGTGTTTGGGATCCAAAAACCCAGCTCCCCTCCCCTTTGGTTCGGAATTTGGCTTAAAACCAGGAAATCCCGACTCACACGGGCAGGGCCACACGGCCGTGCGGCCTACCCAGTTGCCCGTGTGAGGCAAAACGCACCGTATCACTTAGTCGAATTCCAGGCTTCTCACACGGCCAGAGTGGCACGGCCGTGTGGACATCCCCTCTTGCCCGTGTTTGCTCTCGCAGAATGTGGCACGGCCAACCCGGCCACTTGCACGGCCGTGTCGATCCTCTGCTCTGCCCGTGTGTGCTCTCGGCAAAACTCGCACGGCCAGGCCATTACTTCACACGCCCGTGTGAATATCAGGGCAGCCCGTGTGACCTCCTTTGTGACTTGTCTCGCGCCCGATCTTCACCCAATCGACCCCGAACTCGCTCATAAACCCTCATTCACTTGCCAGGACCTGAAATATCACAAACAAACACAACCTAGCGTGAAATCGGTCTAAAACACGAGAAACCACCTCTCAAACGGTGTAAGAACAGGGGTGAAAACATGTGTAACTAACGGTCTATCAAACTCCCCCACACTTAACCGTTTGCTTGTCCCCAAGCAAACCTAACTCAAACCAATGCAGCTCTCCAGACCTCTTTAGCAACAAACAACCCAGATCGTAGGTAGAGGACTTCCTAGATCATTTAGCAATTTACGAGGTCAACCAACGCACAAGTCATCTCATAGCTTCTTCGGCGAGAGCACTAGTATCGAGTCGGCATCATGGCAAATAGTGAACAGAGGACAAATGAATTGTGGATGAAGAGATTCTCAAAAACAAAAGATCATGGACTCACATTTTTCAAGGTGCTCTCTTTTTTTTCTTCTTGAAGATGGTTGGAACCCCTTTTCTTTCTGTTTTGCTTGTTTTCTGTTATTTTTTTCTGTTCTTTTTTTTTCCAAGGGTCCCAACCTGCTCTTACCGGCCATGCCAGGAGCGGATGTCTCGAGCCTCGTGCGGGGGAAAGACATGTAAGGGGGCTGGAGGTAGTAGGTGGAAATTGGGAACGGATTCCCGTCTCCCCTTACACACTTTCGCCCTATTCGCACGGGAGACGTTATTTTGAAGCACATTTTCGAGCACCTGTTAAACTTAAAACATGATACAAGAGTCCATGACAGGTAGAGAACCCACAACACCACACAATTCAAGGGTCCTAAGATCACTAATTCACTCAATCAACCAACTCAATATGAAGGAGAAATGAGACTTCTTAAATGCATCAACATCCTCCATAGTGCTACACTACCTCCCTAGGTTGCATATT